TGCGGACCAACAGTGTTCCATGGCACGTTTCGCCAGCTCGACCAGCTATCCTGACGTCGGTCACTAATATCTGGGCGGGTGTCCAAGACTTGACGCTCCGGAGTCTCAGCTTGAGTGAAGAGCTCGAAAACATCCACTGTGTGTTTTGTTTGGCCGAAGATGAGGAACAAGCCCACGAGTGCGTGATCCTACGCTGCGACCAGTGCCGAGCGCTTTCCCATCTGTCCTGCGCGGAAGAGTGGTTGGAAAACCGACGTACAGGATTTGGCATATCATGCTGCGCGTGGTAAGTATGGATGATCTCAATTCTATAATGCCGGGATACTAATGAATGCAGCCGAAACGAAGGAACTCTAGACGCATTGATTCGTCCACTCCGAGTCCCCTTGGCAGATACCGAAACAAAGTCTGTCCACTCGGCAAGCGAATCATCAACCGATAGAGAGCCTGTCATCGTCAGGAGTCCAGCACGAAACCACCCGAGTCAGAGTCAACCGCATCGGGGGTCAGTGGAATCCCTAGGGGTATCAATCGAGCAGAGTGGGCCCCGTCGCTCAGCCAGACTAGCAGGGGTTCACCTACCGCGAGATTCTTCTACCTCTGCATCGCTTCGCCGGTCGGCACGACTGAATTCCAATCAGCGTAGGTGATTACAATTTACAGCAAACGCGCGACGGAAATGGGAAATTAGCGAAGCGGCTGTCAATCACACGTGACTCCATATCCTGGTGATATGGAGTTTTGGAGCAAGCTTAGCAACCAAATAAATTAAATTCTGAACGTCAAACCCCACAGAACACTACGCGATCAGTTCATATTTGCAAGTGCTAGATGTCAATGTACCTTGAAATGCTATTCGAAGCCTGCTTCATTTCAAATATTTTTTAGCTCGAAAACCGAGCGCCGGTAGATAAAAGCGCACATACCTAACGGCGGCGGCTAAAGTAAATGCCGGCAGCGAGTTCAGCTGAGCCTTGTGGAGCGCAAAGACGGACGTTGTTGGCAGAAAACACAGCTCACGCGTCGGCGAGCCTCGACAATTCTATCCATACTGTCTCGCGACGTATTAGAACCAGCTCATCTATTTAATCGTCAATCATTGTTAATTCGACTCTGGGAATTACAACACTGATCCTGGAGACGCCAAGGGATATTATAGAAGCTGTTTATTCCCTAGGAACTTCTCTTTAGCTCCTAGCACCAGTTCCTGTTTCTAGGAATTTGAGGTCTACCCCTGGGAATCCACTCTACGATCCTGACTGGTTACAAACTGGCTCTGGGAATACAATGGCTAGATCTGGGAGCTGCCGTGCTCCTGGGGCCCTTACTTTTGGATCCTGGACTCATTATTCTGCTTTCTGAGGTGGCGGAAAGCCCTCACAAGATACCCTTACCAGACCTGCGCACAAATATGAGTCATTCAACGACTCCTGGAAAGGCAAGCTATAGCCCCAGGAACCGCACCTGAGGTTCCGGGAGTTGATAAGACTGTCAACAGGAACATGACTTTGGTTCCCCGAGGTGGAGGTACAAGACCCCAGAAGCTATTTTGGGCTTCCTGGGGGCTACTTGGCTCCTGAAAGCGGCTTCTTTGCCCCCAGAAACCGCACTGAAGCCCCTGGGAGCTACCTTGCTCCCAGGGCCAAGCCATCATTTCCAGGGCTGATAGAGCTTGATCCTGGAAACCTCAAAAGCATTTATAGGAGCTGTGTATCCCAGGAAACTAATCTACTCCTGGGATCTTCACTCTACGTTCCTGAATGAACACGAAATTGGTTTGGGGAACGCATTGCCTGGATCTGGGAGCTTTTGCACTCCCAGGGCCGTATTTCTGAATCCTAGAATCAATCTTCTGCCTCCCAGCGTAGGGTACTAACTCACAAAACACCTTCTCCAGACCTATGCACAAATCTGAGTCACTTTATTATTCCCAGATGCCTAGCCTATGGTTTTAGGAACCGGAATCAAGGCTCCAGGAATTAATAAGCTATCAACAGGAATATGACGTTGATTCCCCGAGGTACAGGGATAAGGTCCCAGAAGCTACGTTGGGTTTCCTAGGGGCTAAGTGGTTTCTGGACGCGGCTTGCTGCATACTCCCAAAAACCGACTCGGACGCCCCCGGGAGTGTCAGGGATATACATGAAGCATACAGGATGTTTGGAGAAATGATCTGCGGGACCCACATGGTGCATATGGGTTCCCCTGAACGCGAGGAAGCCTGTTCCTTCTGCTTCCTCGCGCTACGTCTTGTATCTAGAGTCAACTATAGTTGTTCTTAATATTGATTGTTAATCTTGAAACACTATCCACCTCTATGTATACGTGAGACCCTCACAACCCGGGTGGCACTTGAACCCAGGTGGAACTTGAACCTGGGTGATCTCCCGAGCTGCTGTTGGAGCGATGGCACCCTGCTTCCAATTGTCATTGTTGCCTCGTCTGGAAGCACTGTCATATTCGAGTCACTCGACACTTTCTCCGCTAGCTGTGCTGCCCCCGACGCTATACCTGGATCCGTCATCTTTTGTACTTAATCTCCAGTCAAATTACAAGTGAATGCAGCCCAACTAGTTTGAAAGTGGTTGTAAACCTTTCGAGCACTGATTCCAGTCCTTGAGAACGCCCATCAGTCATTCCTGAGACAGTTTTGAAGCCTGTTCAAAGAGATGCAGTCAAGATAGCTGCTCATCGGGACGAAGCTGAAGACCGTCTTTCCCGTCGCTCGGATTGATGCTAGCCCCCCTGGAAGCTTTACTATTTTGACCTAGTTTCTCCTCATCGAGATGTTTAGGCACGAAAGAGGCCCATATGCGTCGATACAGCCCCGCAGGTCGAGCCGCCTGAAAGGCGAGTTTCGGATCATCGCGTTCGAGATACGCTAGTTTCTCCGAAATGGGTTGAAAGCGCTCGGTCGCCAGCACATCTTTCTGGTTTGCTTCCTGCCGCGCGAGAGAATGGTGATGGTCAGCCACAATATTTAATGTGTCATTGCACTCAGCTTACCAGTGGTGGTTCAAGATCGGATGTGGCCTGTGGATGGGCTTTATCCCTCTGAATTGAGATTCCACTCGGCTGCTGGTCCGTTAGGTTCTTTGAGGCATCCATCTTCTCCACGGGTAAATAACCAATGTTAAACAATTTGCTTTCCTATCTAGTGCTGGTCTCTCTTATAGACTACCCTTTTGTGAACAGATAATTCCAGATCCTTACGGTGGTGGGACGAATCGTTCAACGCAATCGGAAATGTGACTGGTGTTGACGGCTGTTTGTTTTTGGCGAACTGTTGGACATCCCTATCTCCATTTTGATAATAATTCTTGTATTAAATCAACCATCCTTAAGTAGCCAGACATGGTATGCAGGAGTTGAAGGAAGGGTCATTAACGGTTGTTGAAAGTCCGTATAAATGTCGTATCAAGTTCTGGCACTCGTCACGCCTTTTTTGAGATTGTGGGCGGCGATAACGCCCCGTGTTGAACTAAACCTCGCAGATGTCTGATCACTGTTTAATCAACGGCTTTCCGTATATCAACTCCCTATCTTTGTCAACAAATCTATCAAGCCGTAATATAACGCAAAAAATAGCAGGTTTCCGTTATTCAACGCTGTCCGTGGGATGGGGAACATTAACTTGGCGACACTTTTCACTCTATAGGATGAAAGCGTGGCCGCAAAATTTGCTACCACTGAGTCGATTCTGTTTACCTCACCTAGCTAGCCAATACTCCGCGAATACTTCTAGCCGGCATCCTATGCTTGCACCCAGACTAATTAAGCGTGGCATCGGCACAACACATCTATAGTGCTGTGTAGAACTTGCCATTTGTTACTTTCTTCTTCTGTTTGCGAAAAATGGTATTTACGGGTGGAAGTCCACACACATAGAACAGCAAATCACACTATCCTCGCAAATAGGTGGAGAAAATAATCTGGCATTCTCAAATGGCATCCAAATGCCTTGCCATGACCGCGCCGAACAAAAGGCAATCGAAGATCCTGGCCCTGTCGAGTGGGCTGGCATGGAATTTTACCAAAACCATGGGGGGCTAGCTAGTTGTCAGGCGTTGCGTCACTCGGTGCCAAAGCACCAAGGCGGTTGTGGCGGTCACTATCATGGGCAAACAGGTTGCTCGATTGATCCAGGTTCCATCCATTACGGATCGCGACCTGTGGTCTGTTGGCTCGGATGTCTGCCTACCTCAGTGTCATTCAACCACCTCCTGCTAGGGCCACCTCCTGGCGACTTTGACTATACGCCGAGTTTCTTCAAAACTTGCCTTTTCCCAAACCAAGTGAACATCAACTCTCCCTACCCACAGCCGCTTGAGGAACTGCGGCACGACAGCCAGAAAGATGTTGCTGGACCATGCCAAGCCTTCAGACAGCCTGGCATTGTATTATATAGCTCGCAAGATCCGTTAAATTTAATACGGAGGTTCCCAAACCAACATCCCTCGGCAGCAGTTCAAATGCGACGTTCGGGGATGTTAGAGTCATTTCAAACTTCAAAAGACCCTTAATTGTCACCTGGCAAGCCATTCAGGGGAGAGGCCTCATGTTTGCTGGGTACCTGGCTGCCAACGCGGCTTCTTGCGTCGCGATAACCTCAAAGCCCACTATACAACACACGGGAAACGTAGGGGCCGCAATCGATATGTTGCTACCCTGGATAAGACAGCACCTGTCTATAACCCTGAATTCTGTGGGCAGCTAACGCCCGAAGGATGGCCACTGGACTATGTTGGCCAAGATTGACCCTAGTGCTTGAGATGTACGATGGCGCTAAAGTGTCAACTTTTCTATTATCATGGACGAGAAACAACAGGATAGGCTTGGATACAGTTGAAATTTGTTTCACTCTAGGGCTGTTCTTTTTCGTGCTACGAACCTAAGAATCCCTCAACTACAGCATACTAGTAACCCCTTATCCGATTTCCGATTTTCTACGAACTGATTCGACATGTGTAACATTCAGATGAGCAGAGTCAATACAAATAATGCTTACCGAGTTCAAAGCTATTCACATCGTTTGGTAGTCGCAATATCATATAAATCACCATGGAGACCGAGGCCAGCGTGGTCCAGGGTCTCGGATAAAGAATATAGAGGTTAAAGAGCAATACCCCAACAGCTGGGCTACGACGAAGCCAACAATGTAATTGTGGCTGCAGATCACTCACTATCGGTTGTTATCGTGTAACTGTTGTGATTCAGAGGAAAGTTGATTCATTATGCTTTCTGATGAGATACAAGAGGATATATATATACAGCGTGATGTCCAAATTGATTATAAATCAATTTGGTTCTTCATATAGACAGTGCAGGAATTATTTCCGATGTTGCGGCTTTTATTCCTGATGTGCACTTGCCTTGTATCACAACACATGTGGTTTCTGGCGACGATGACGGAGCTGTTCAGATTTCAGCGTCCAAGCTTGGTATTCCTGGCGATAATGTGCGTTCTCGAAGCTCTCCCGCTGACAAGAAGGACTACATCCAGAAGCTCCTCGGTACTGGCACAGATCGCAAGGAACCGGTTGTTGTTTTCTGCGGTGACGGCACGAACGATGCCGTTGCTCTCGCGCAGGCTACGATCGGCGTTCACATGAACGAAGGGACGGATGTCGCGCAATCCGCCGTGGATGTGGTTCTCATGCGACCTTCTCTGGCTGGCATCCCCATTATGATGAATGCCAGTCGGAAGTCCGTCAACCGCATCAGGTTCAATTTTGCATGGAGCTTCGTATATAACACCTTTGCAGTCCTTCTCGCTGCGGGTGCTTTTGTCAATGCGAGAATTCCTCCAGAATTTGCGGGGCTGGGAGAGTTGGTGAGCGTGTTGCCAGTCATTGCTGCTGCGGTGCTTTTGCGCTGGTCGAAGATCTAGGCAAAGAGCACCGTCATTTCACGAGTGACAACGGCTGACTTGATACCAATCACGACTTGCTGGTGGAAGCAGTCGCAGAGAAGACCATGTGAAGGGTTCACGGGATTTATCATCTACATTCTCACCGATGAAGAAGTATTTCTATAGCTCCCATGCATGATTGGTTTGGGATCTGCGGCAAATTTCCCTAGCCAAGATCCAGACATTATTACATTTGCTCGGCAGCAATGCTTTTCAACACCCTCTTGTAACCCCAAGCCGCACAAATTATCAGCATCAGAAAATTGTCTGTCAGTAGGACCGTAAGATGGATAAAGAGCAGATATGCGGTTACTTTTCGCTGGCGCTTGAGTTGGCAAGCGTGAGTGCAAGGAGATCGTGGGAGTGGTCTATTTTTGGAGATGTAGAAGTACATGTGAGCACGGATTCTCCAGCAGTTTACGTGTTTGTATCTGTACCATTCGATCCCGGAACAGACCTGCAATTACCGGGATAACCATAAAAAATCAGGTCATGTGATTAGCGTTCGAAAGGCAAGCTGAAGAATCTGGATCCTATCCTTATGTTTAATGAGGTCATTATTGACCCTAAGATCTCCTGGTAGATCTCTTAAATATTATGAGTCGTTTTTTCGTCTCTGTAGATCATTGTCGGTGAAGTTTTGGTCTAAAACTGAGCCTATATGTGGTTTCTGTCCGTCATGATCCCCACCAATGCCAATTGTTCTGGGGCGGCTCTGGGAATAATGCTGACTGGCGGCGCATAATACATTCAGCGGCTTCGAAGACGATCCAGTGGATCATACCAAGCTTAATAGGAAAGAGCTACGGCGCGAGTTTGGGGACGTAAGGTTGGAGTCAAGGTGCTGATGACGGTAGAGTCAATCTGGGTAGCGAGAAGGGACAGGCAAAGAGGTATCGCTATCAAGTCTCATAACGACCGTATGGGTATTTTGAGTATTTAACCAAACTACCGTTCATGTGATATCACCATACAAAACATTTCGGCATCATGATACAAGCCAAATGCACTAGCGTGTTTCGAAGAAGGGTTCGGAAAAGGATCAAGGCGATCAAAGTGGTGAAACTGATTTCGAACACTGCTGTATGCCAGTGTGGGCTCTTCTCTATTCATTGTATCTTGTATAAACTAAATTATCATCGTTTCTTGGCGAGTGTTTTCTCCACGTCGATTCGCCTAATGGCCGATGTCGCGTACGAACCGCCGAGCAGCACCTACTTTCACACCACGCTTGACGAAGAATTCCGGGTCTTGATCCTCATAAATCTGCATGAGATCGAGGCAGTTCTCGAGGGTCACATCGCGTGCTTTGCTGATATTATCTTTGAAACTCTCATTGCTCACCCGTGACTGCTGCCATTCGGTATATTCCTCCACGGCTACATCAAGTTGCCCGTGAACGATGATTGGTTCAGCACAGGCAGACTTAGCACGCGAAGCTTCATTAGCAAGAGGAGAAGGCATCGACTGTTGAGACGATCCAGCTGGGAGGAAATTGTTGATATTGATCGGAGGACACATTGAGCCGATCGAAGAATTGTCCGAGGTTTTCTTCTTTTTTTCAAGTCGCTGATTTTCCTCGGCATAAAGCTGGCCGCGAACACTGTCGGGGATGTCGTCATGGGTCTCGAGGTCTCCCCCTTGCTCCACATATTTGATAAGGGCGTTCATATGGTGTGTTTTCAGTCTGTAGTGTTTTTTTCCTTCCGGATCTTACCAGCAGTATTGCCCTTCGTGGCGACATGGGGGTCCGGGACATCTATGACACGATACACATCCCGCCATACAGGATATTGGCCAGATGATTGCTCGGCGTCAATCCAAGCGTCTCGGTCCGCTAGCCTCCTCTTAGTGGTCGATGACTTTCCTCATTTATCGCTCCCAGACGAAAAAGCCCCACTATCCTCAATGTAGTTAATAGATATCTGGAGTAAAAGCTTCTTGCCACGATGGTACAAGTGGGCCCACGCCAGCTGCTGCTGCTCCACCGTTGTCCAATCAATATCAGTGCTCTCAAAACGCTTGGTCAGATCTCGTTGGGAACGGTCCTTTACAGATACGACAACAGTAGTATCGTCTGGTCTCACGCGTCGGTCGCGGACTATTTTCCGACGTAAAAGACTTCCGGCTTTCTCGTTTATCTTTTCCCAATACGAACTGGGTGGCAGAGCCAAGTTTTGTTCCGTATCCTTTGTCACAACCCGGTTATACCTACCCCCTTCAAAGCTCCAATTTATTCGTGATATGATACAGAGCCAGTTGCTTACCACGTCTCGGATTGCCGAAGAAGCTGAATGCAGCGAGCGAACGATCAAAAACATTTGCAAAAACTTGCGTCAATTTGGAAGCGTCCACGCTCCCGCAAATAGGATCGGCTGGAGACCGACTTTGACGCCATCAATGTTAGAAGCACTGGGCAACCACTTGCTCGAAAAACCCGGCCTTTATCTAGATGACATGGCCGTCTTTCTCTGGGATGAATTCCAGACGCTAGCAACAACCTCAGTATTCGGAGGTCTCTTGTCTCCAACGGTTGGTCCAAAAAGAAAGCTCGACAAATAGCTCGAGAACAAAACGCTGAATTGCGAGAATATTATTCGCACAATTTATCGGACTTTCAGTCGTATCATCTAGGATACGTCGATGAATCAGGCTGTGACAAACGGGCCGAGTTTAGATGGACAGGCTGGTCACCAATTGGCAAGGCTCCCGTACAAGTGTCCCAGTTTCACCGCGACCAAAGATACCAGATACTGCCCGCGTATGCCCAAGATGGAATTGTCCTCTCTCGTGTTTTTCGCGGCTCAATTGACGCCACTATATTTGAGGACTTTATCGCTGGGCTTCTTCGGCACTGCGGAAGATGGCCAGAGCCTAGATCCGTTCTAGTAATGGACAATGCGTCGTTTCATCATTCTGAGAATCTTGCACAGATGTGTGCCGACGCGGGAGTAAAGTTGGTTTATCTGCCACCCTACTAACCGGACTTGAACCCTATTGAAGATTTTTTCGCTGAGCTAAAAGGCTTTATCAAACGTAGCTGGGGCTATTATGAAAAGGATCCCGATCAAGGATTCCATACTTTTCCTCGAATGGTGTATCAATGTGGTTGGAAGAAAAGAAGAGAGCGCCAGAGGCCATTTTTGGCACGCAGGCCTAAGTATAGAAGAAGTATACTGCAGTTATCACGGTAATGAGAGATTCATCGCCACAGTTTCTGGGGTATTTCAAAATAATCTATTCCCAACTTCGTTATGACCATCCACCACCGCCACTTCCTCCACTAGGCTTGGAGCAATCGTTAAGGATGTCAATCAAAAACTGAACCCCGGTTAGCTTCACTTCACCGGCGCAATGTTCGCGAATCACACTCTCGATATCGCAGCATAGGGTTTGAGTGTTCCACATGCTACCTATTATAGCGCAGTTAGCACCGCCAAAATAAAAGAGTTTGATGCAGGAACTTGATAACATTGCGTGCAGTTAACACATACAACTTAAATATTAGCGGTGTTACCTAGTATTCTGACCTGAACTAGGAGCTTGGAGCACGACCTATGCCCACTTTCCAAGCAATGCCATGAGCGCCGCTCCGCTGGAGAGCAAAAGAAGTGCTGACAGAACCGTTTGAATAGGAGCTCTTCGCATAGAAGGGGTGAACATGAACTCATGTGCCATAAGCTCGACAAGACTGACGTAAATGAGGATTCCTCCAGATATTGAGTCGAAAACACCATTGACGATCAGCGTTGTTCGGCCGTTTGGTGGATAAGTTTTACGCACACCCAAGCCAATGGCAATAGCAATAGGAGTGGAAACCCCATAAATGGCCCCCAGAATATACGGTGTCAGGGTTTTTGATCGCGGCCAAGGAAGGGTAGCAAGGCGGGAACCCAAACCTAGCCCTTCAAAAGTTTGGTGGAAGACGATGACGATGTAGAGGATTGTGAACTCCTCGCCAGATACGGCGAGAGTCAAACCGATAAACACAGAGTGAAAGACAATACCGAATTCCAAAATGAAGATAGAAGTCAGCTGAGCCATGTACACTTCCATTTTTTCGGACATTTTAGGATCTTGATGCCGCCGGGATCGTTCTAAGTTATCATATCCCGGTACCACTCGATTTCTCTCATTAGTAGTGGCATCCTCATCGTTATCAAAGTGTGAATGTATGGGATTCTCAGCATCGAGCTGATCGTTTTGGCCAAACCGTGCGTATCGCATGACCATCAGCTCCACAAAAAACATGACGAGAATAGTCATAAGAATTATGCCTTCAACCCAGCCATATTCTGTGATAGGACCAGTCAAACAGGTGTTTCTTAAAGCCTCCTCAGCTGGACCAAGGAGGTGAATAAAGGCGGTAGCCATAATAACACCAGATCCGAAGTATTTAGTGATAAAAAAGACCCATTTTGAACCTCCAAATCGTTTTGCAACAACGGGGAAGATCGCGCCGAAAATCGAACCAACCAATATCACAAATATAGATGAAATACGCAGTCCCATCCGGCCATCGTATTCGTTCCCTGTGGTACAGGGCGGAGGAGATTCAGCCTCGTCTCGTGCAAGAAGGTTATAGACTAATTCTGTATCCATCTCCCGAAGGATGGTAGAGCGATATAGTGCCATGCAGTTGACAATTGACCCCGGTTCTAGAGATCACTCTCTAAGAACGAAGTAGTTGAAAGTGCAGCCGAAACCAAGTATTAAGGCATAACAAGCTGACAAACTGACAAGCTGACAATATGGTATGTATGAGACAGGAACCTACTTAGAAGGGGGATTCTCCGTATTTTTAAACTGTGTCTATGCCTTACAAGATCCCCCGTTCAAGAAATGGCCGGGAGACAATGGTAGGTTCTACGCGATAGTGGCGAATCTTGCCGAATATACATTCGCTTGGCTCTGGCCCAAGCCTAATCAGTACGTACCACCCACTAGCAACTTTAATTCCACCTATATAGTTGATTGGTTGAACTTACTTTGAAGTGGGTCAATCCGGTGGATCTTAGGGATTGCCCCTATTGGACATACTCTCATAACCATACCTCACTAGATAATTATTGCTTCGACGGGCAGGATAGGCACTCAGTCACATGGTGCTATCATTGTCTAGGTGAGCCTACTAGTGTCAGAACATTTTTTAGTTCATAAGAGAGAAACTTACACGGTACGATTTCGCCTATGTCCCCGCAATTCTGCGGAATAATCTGTGGCGTCATCACTTTGCGTGCGATAACGTTTTCCTGCGATATGCAACATTTTTGGTCGACTTCAACATATAGCGTGGCTTAGAATTCTGAATCATCCTTCACAGCTAGTACCCCCTTACTCTGGTCATTTACAGGAATTCTCCAGTCTTCCTAGACTCGCTGCCCGCAGACATGCGTCTTTAATGGTGTTCTTCTCCACAGTTGAACCACGCTTCAGTACGTAGTGCCCCACTTCTTTTGGGTTCCAGAAGCGTGAATTTCGTCGCAGCGCCTCTTAAAATCCCTCATATAGAGGCCCAGAGTCTATACAAAATGTGGTCCCATATACGAGCGACCACTTGGGGCTATCAAGTCTTGGCGGAATTTGGAGGAGTATCTTCGAGGCAGAGGAAACCCAGTCAACGGAGATGAAGCTAGCTTTGAGAACCTGGTCTCTCAAATTTTCAGAACAGGGGCGATACACGATTAGTTCTATACTAACCTCTTTTTTATCGATCAGCTGACTTTCCCCAAATTTCTGTCGGCGAGAGATGTAGCTGAGTATTTGCCAAACCCTGCAGGCTAGATCCGGATGTAAGTTAGCTGTTCAACCCGGTTGACATTCAGTATATAATCAACAATTTTGCAGCTTCAAACCCCACAACCAGACGCTGAAAGGCTTCCAGTTTCTAATTCCTGTCAAAGTCCTGGGGAAGACCGTTGATAATGGAGTTGGATGTGCAAACTGTACGCAATTTCGTCACGTTCCTGCATCAAGTTCTTTATTTCAACGCCTTTGACCAGCTCTATAGTGGGAAGCTCATGCAAGGACCAAACACTGTGCTGCGATACCGAGAATGTTGCGTCGGTAACCCGAAGCTAACGAACCGGGTTCAGTTTTTGATTGGAATTCTCAACGTTTGCACCAAGCCTAGTGGAGGAAGTGGTACTGGTAATGGTAGAATGGAGTGTACTTAAATGATGAGTGGACACTAAAACGGCGCACGTAGCTGAGACTGCCCCTCAAAACTGTGCGGGTATTCACCGGGACATTAATGCTATAATCGTCGGATCACGTCTATCGTGGGAAGACCACGATTTGTCGGGTCCTAGGGTTGTAAGTCTATTGGGAGAAATCGTGGTCTGTCGTAGGATGCAAAGCATCGAACGGTTCCTCGCACCCTGCGACAGCCACACCTGAAGAGAAGATTAGGTAATGTCATTTGATTAGTTAAAGGACAAGCGATAACTAACTAGTTACCCCGGTCCTTGCCAAGTAACCCCACCCCCTTTGGGTGTTGGGTTACCACACCGTAATATAAACTCTTGCTCAATGTAAAATTTATACCACCCACCATTTTTACTATCATTTTACATCCTACCAACATGCCAGAAAAAACCCCAGATTTGGAGAATCCCCTTGCAAATGCTCTCTCTGCATGGTATGCTCCAAAAAAAACCAAAAATGGCCCCATTGGCGCGAGAATTCGGCGTTCCTTACAATCTGTTGTATGACCGGGTTCACGGTCGGGGTTCTCGTTCGACGCGCCGTCCTACCAATTCGACATTAAATCTGGATCAAGAGCGAGCCCTAATTAGCTGGATCACTATATTAGATGATGCTTGCTCTCCACCAACTGCTAGAATGGTAGAAGGGTGTGCTAATTCAATGATTCTACGCGCCAATGCGGAAGAAAACACGTCGCGTCCGCCGGTTGACAAAAACTGGGTATACCGGTTTTTAAAACGTATCCCACCTACCCATAACCTTCATTTTACAAAACAAAAACCAAAGGAAAAGAAGAGAATGGAGGCTAAAAATATTGGTTATCTTACTGCTTGGTACCAGCGCTTAAACCAGTATATCGAAAGCAACAAATTATACCCGCGGGATATCTATAACTTCGACGAAACTGGCTTCCAAATTGGCCAAGGAAAGCCTCAAAAAGTCGTTTCAAAAAGCCAGACTCTATTTTCACCAAATGGAGGTATTGCTGAGGGTATTACCGGCATTGAATGTATTGCTGCCGATGGTTGGAAGATAGCACCTTGGTTCCTAGTTAGGGGTAATTCCATATGGAGAATTGGTATAAAGATACCAACCTTCCGGAGGATTATACCCTAGTAACTACACCATATAGGTATACTACAGATCAAACTGCAGTTCAATAGCTTCGCGCTTTTCATCTAGCAACTAAGGATCGTACTACTCGGGGTAGTAAACGCCTTTTGTTAATGGATAACCATGGATCCCACCGTACCCCAGAATTTATCAATTTTGCAGCGGAGAATAGCATTATCCCCTATTGCTTTATACCCCATACGACGCATATCTGCCAGCCGCTAGATAGCAAGCCTTTTCTTGCTTTAAAGCATTACTACCAGTCTCATAACAACGCTGTTGTTCAATGGGGTGGATCGGTGGATCGAAAAGCGGATTTTTTTCGAGAAATTGTATCTGTTCGCAATGCTCTCACCACCCGAGTAATTAAGTCGGGATTTGCTAATTGTGGCATTTCCCCATTTAACTATAAAAAGGTGCTTAGTCCGCTTGAAAAATACGTGGATTACGGGGATGATCTAGTTATCTTTAGTAAAGATGACGGATCAGAGGTTGATTTTCCCAGCTCTATTACCAATTCACCACCCCGTGGAATCTCTCGTACAAACGAGAGTACGCGTAAATCGGAGGCAGATATCGAATTGCTAGATAGCGAGCTTTATGCAGCTATTCAACACCGAGAAAAGCTACTATGCCGGAGTACGCGAATTTCAGCGGAGCTAGCTACGCAGCTTGCTAAGGACAATACCACCCTTTTACGCCATAAAGTCCACCGAGATGCCCGTATTATCAAGCGCCAGATCAACCTAGGGGCCCCCTTACTGATGGTGATGCCAATCGAATTATCCGGGCGCGGGAATCGAAAGAGCAGGTGCAAGAAGAGAGGCGGTTGAAAAAGCGGATTTCGAAGCCATTAAATACGGAGGATACACCAACTCCAGCACCCCGTTTTAATCCATGGATTCCACCAATAGATGATGTGTCTACTATTTGAGTATTTGTTGGGATTTTTTTGGGATTTTTATAGGCGTTGTACGTTGAGAAAAATACAAAAATATTTTATGCGTTCTTTAAAATTTACATTGAGCAAGAGTTTATATTACGGTGTGGTAACCCAACACCCGAAGGGGGTGGGGTTACTTGGCAAGGACCGAGTATCTATCTATCTATCTATCTATGATTCGGGAATATGTAAGCAAAAACAATAAAAAAGTAGGGATTCGCTGGTGGTAACCTGCCAGCATGTGGCTTATGCACAGTTAATACCTCAATGGTGTCCTCCAGTCACACGATCAGATCAGATATACTAAATTGAATACCAAGACTTACCGAGTCAGAACGTACCATACAGGGTATACATCTAAAGAATTAATACCATGACCGTAAAACCCCTGCTTAAAAAAAAGAAATAGAAAGGAAAAAAAAGAAGAAAGCTGCATTCTGCTGTTGGCTGGTATTCAACGGTAGCAACGATGTAGATAGATACTTAAGGCTTGTGGGATGATTGTCGTAAATTTATTCAAAGTAAACCCCCTAGCGTAGAACCTAAATTAAGCGGGGCTCTTAGTGTCAAGTCTAAAACAGGGATAGCTGGGGATACATTTAGCACAGGCTTCGGAATGCAAGCTCCCACTGCCTCAATCTGACCCCTAGAGAATGAGGTCTGTAAGACGAGATGGCGATTTTGAGTATTATCAGTCGATGTATGTGTATATATACATGTTCCCAATGAGTATTTGTATGTATCCAAGTTCAAATTCAGTCAAATGTAATTCTCTCATGTTACCTACAGGGTCACCTGACCAATGAACACGTTGTAGTAGACAGTTCACAATTTATTTGAATAACAACGCTGACTATTGAAAGATTCTGGATAACTTCAGCGCCGTGCTAGACCCCCGGAGAGTTAAGGGCAAGTCGTTATTGTAATCGAGGGTACCGATCTTTGTAGTTGCGTCTGAGTGTGAGCAGGGGTATTCTGTTGCCTCTGCTGCATCGAATGAGGGCTTTGTTTTTCCTGGGGCTGGTGAGTTGTTGAATCCCCAGCCCTTTGATCATCACCATGCTTTGAAACTCGTCGAGACAAAACCCGCCGAGTAAAACGGGTAAGAGCCCAAATGCAAGCTTTGAAGCTTCTGCCAAAAGCTTGAAATATTTTGACAAATGGCCGCAAGAGGAAAGCAAAGCTACTGGTGACAGCATTGAAAACGAGAGCAAAGTGGTCGTCGGGAATCAGGCGAAGAATCATAGCCCACGGCATACAGCCCACGGCACAAATGAGACAGACAACCCACAAAACGCCATTGATACGAGTAACGCGAAATGCCTGACCGCCAATGAAT